TTTCGTTGTGTGGTACCCTGGTTCTATGCGAGCTTGCCTCAGGATATTTAGGGTGCTTACACTGCCATTATTAGAGTGTGCCACAGCATCATGCAAGGCAAACATCACTGTAGGCGAGCTTACGTAGACCTCTTTGGGTGCCCGCCGCTACCATACTAGACCATTGAAACACTCATTAGCATTTTGAGTCTTTTCATGAAGGCACTTCATTAGAAGTTCATCAGAGCACAGATCACTGTAGACAGTTTTAAATTTGTTTAGCACATCATTTGGAAGTCCTCCTTTGTGTACATATTTCCCTTGGCCGAGTGCTTCGACCCTCTGGTATCCGCACCAGCTTTTCGGTCCAAGTGGACACAGGCCATGTCTCGGCTGCTTGTCGGTAGAGCTGCAATGAAAAAGACTGGCAAGGGTAGCCTTTTTCATTGCACAAAAGTTGCCCACATTAGCCCTTATGGCAATGCCATAGTAGTTTTGCAGGCGGTCAACGAGGGCATCAGTGAGCTTTCCCTTCCACCGAGTCCACGCACTTTCTTCAGTTTTCTGAGGCGGCAGCCAACACGCTTCTGGACATGCCCAATACATTCCAGTTTCTGCACACTGTCCTTTCCATACATGTCTTTGACAGCGGCATAGCTCTTGGAATCACCATCGCCGTAGTACTACAGGTAGTTCAAATCTCTTTTGCCTTTCGACCTTTCAAATATTCGGTATAGACCGACCGTCTCCATACTGCCAGCACTTCTTTCATGGTTTGCTTGACAGGAAGTGTGGTTTGCCTTCCATTCCTGGTATGAAGCACTATCTTGCCTCAACTTGCTTTTGGTTTTACAAGACTTACACGAACAAGAAAAGGCCACAACATCAATAACCTTTCCCTTGTCAACAGAAATCACAGACACACAACCGTTCAAAGATGAATGGCCACGCTTCTGACACTTGCCATCTCCTGAAACACCCCACTCGGCACTCCCCACAACACGTCGAACTTCCACAGCAGCATCAGTCATCGACTTCGACGCCACTTCTCCTGCCGCTGCAGAAAGCCGAGATGACAATTTGTCGTAGGCGGAGTGACGTGGAGGAGCAGGCATGTTCATCACTTTCGAAAAAGTTTTCGCTCCAGCGTGCCCTTTTCCTAACTGGCGCATCGCGTAAACCAGACGTAAATTGTTCTCATTGGCACGACCCACCTTTCTCGACGTATGAAATGGGCGCTTGAACGCACAGTCGGTACACACGACCGCACAAGCCGAGCATATCCCTTGGTGAGAGCGTTCCTCGAGCTTCAGTGTTGTGCTCATGCATTCGAAACATGCCAGCGATGAAAACACTGAAGAAATAATACCAATGTCCATTATCCTGTTCCCTTAGAGCGCATAATTCCCTAGTGGAGCCTGGTATGCCTCGTTTATGTCCTCAAGCTTCTTCGCAGTCGCCGAAATACCGGCGTCTGTGTCAGTAGGCAGCCTCATCGTCGTGTAGCGATTTCCAGCAAACTTGCGCTTCCTCGTCTTCTGTGTACTGCACTTCCCCATGCTGGTCGTAATATGGTTCAGGTGGCCTAAGAATACAGCCCTAGTAGCGTTGACATGTGGAACAAATGCAGAACGAAGCCTGACGTAGCCTGACCAAGGCAAATAACAAATATTCCGACGAGCATCGTGCGTCCCGCTTGTGGCTGTTGTTAGAGATTAACGAAGACTTTTTGAAACACAAAGTTGTATTTAATGACATCATCTTATATAACAGTCACAATAAAATGCATACAGTATTTTGAATAGCATTAATATAGACGAAAGAACACTTGCTTTTGAAAGCGATTTTTTGAAACCGAAACCACAGTTGGAAATGTGGTTTCGGTTTTGCTAAAGGAGCATAAGGTATAGAAAACTTGCTGTAACTCGCAAGCTAATGACGCTAGGAGGATAATTTTTGTTGCAACATATATGTGAATGTTTGGGCGTGCAAGAAAACAAAACCCTAAAACTTTATTTTGCGAAAAAAAAATTACTTTTGAAGGTGGCCTACCACTTTAAAGTACAGTCACCACGTAAAAAAAAAATTACAAGTGATTTGTGGCTAAAGCGATGCGATTGTGACATGCTTTGCAGTTATTCTCGAGCATGTCGATAGCGAAATTGCCAAGCAAAATCTATATTTCCAAGCAGAGGTGATCAGCGGGAAGTGGCTTGTAGGCAGTCGGTAAGCTGCAAACTGTACTCATCACTGCTTGTTCAGTAAACTGTGTGCCAGAACTAAGATTTAAAAAAAAAGGACACCTGCTCATAATGCTAGGTTTGTGTGAGCAGTAAATGAATGAATGATTCTTCGGTAAAGAATTACAGACCCTTCAAGAGGAGGACACTAAGATGAGTAGCTTTCTGCCCGCCAGCCCCACATGGTAAAGTGAAATATGCTTGAAACTGTTGCTGATGGCATGCTCGGGAACAACTCACAGTGTCCTATACTTGCCGGGGACACAGTGGGAAAAACAAGACAAAAGAAGTAAGAAGATAAGTCATAGTGTGCTTCCTCACTTTTTTTTTTATCCTGTTTTCCCAGCAAGTAGGAACCAATTACCTTAAATACGCACATTTGTACATATATCTGGTGTTTCCCTTTGTTTCCACAACAGATGAGTTTACAGTTAGAGGCCAATGATTCTATGCTTAAAGCTAAACGTGTCTGCTATAGTGAGATTGTTGACCAAAACAATTGTCCTTTGCAACCAACTGCCTTTTAGATCCATAGTCTGTTACAGATGAGGTACAACTGATTGAGCAGACAGGTTGGCCAACCATAAAGGTGAGTTGTTTCTGTTACAACGAACTGTCTATTAAATCAGGGCCTGTTGATTTGATTGATATTTAGAGTTTAACGTCCTAAAACCACTATATGATTATGAGAGACGCCGTAGTGGAGGGCTCCGGAAATTTCGACCACCTGGGGTTCTTTAACGTGCACCCAAATCCGAGCACACGGGAGTACAGCATTTCCGCCTCCAAAAAAATGCATCCGCCGCAGCCGGGATTTGATCCTGCGACGTGCGGGTCAGCAGCCGAGTACCTTAGCCACTAGACCACCGCGGCGAGGCAAATCAGGGTCTGTTGTAATGGAGTTTAACTGTGTGTGAAACACATGAATGTTGCTAAAGATATTCACCCAACATTACTACTTTTATTTTCAGCAATAGTTTTGGCTGCATTGAGCTTCAGAGTTAACGTTATAAAGTGACTGAGGGGCCATGAGAGACACCACATCGGAAGGCTCGTCATTTTCAAATCATCAGGTTCTTTAAACAAAGCAACCAAATTTAGGCCCACACCTGTTTTTTCCGTTCTGTTCTGCTGCCGAGTCGAGATTTCGACCTCGAGGTCCGTAGCAGAACATCATAAACTACTGATCTATGCAAAGTCAACAAAAAAAACGATAGAATAAGACGCATACACTGTGGTTTAACACAGCCGCTGGAGTCCTGAGCAATGAGCTACTAGCACTTCCCTACACAAGACTTATCCTCATCTCTAGAAAAGTAGTATGTGAGGAATAGAACAGAGAATAGAACACCTAGCAGGATGGACTAAGAGAAAAAAAAAAAGGCACACTGAAGTGTTAGAAAAAGACAGGTCTTTCAATTTCTCCTGAAAAGGGCCAATCAGTTGAACCACGAGGCCTCTGCAAACCTCAATGCTAGATGTGACTGTGCAAGGGCGCATTGAAGCCATGAACTGCAGGGTTCTCAATTCCACAGTACACTAATGGCAAATTCCATTAAGATAAAAACACTCAAAAGCAGGCTGAAAGTGCTCTCTTCAGGGCCGGCGTGTTTCAGAGGTTGAACAAGGGTAAGGGCGCTGTCATCCAATTGTAGTGCAAGAGCGCTTTTGCTAGGCCGAGGGCAGCCAAGAGGAATTTGAAATGCTCTAGCCTAAAAAGTGAAGTAGGCCTAGTACGAAGAGAGTCATGTGATTTTTAAATGTCACATTCACCTCATTTATTTCACTTTTGCTTCAACCAGTCAGAGTGGCGGCAATGGCAGTAACCATGCATAGTCTGACAACTGATGTTGGCCGTATTTGTGCTACATGTACAACTAATGACGACGATGATTATGAAGTATGTGCACCTATATGTTAGCTGAATACTAAATTGTCACACAAACTTACATAATTGCAAATGAGGACCATGGTGCACATGTGACTGACAGATTTCATACATATTTTGCAGCATTCTACACCTCGCACATAGTTTCGAACTTCTAAGGTTTGGTGCATTTCACTCCACTTGTCATCCTTTTAGCTGCTCTTGAGATGAATGCTCCATTCAAGTCACGGATCGATTGGCCCTACTTTCAGTGCTCTGCCCCCCTGCCAACTGCACGACATCTCTACTCCTTTTCTCTCAATGGAATTTACGATGAGACATGCGCACTACAAATCATGATGTGAAGTTTTAAAGGGACACTAAAGAAAAAAAACTCTTTTTCTCTTATTAGTAAATTACCCTCCCACAATTCCAAACTCGCTACACTTGCCCGGAGAAGCCGCTTGGTAAGCGAAAAAACGGGCAAAAAGAAAGTGCAGGTGGTGACGCAACCTTGAAATTCCTGCACCAAACCCCGCGATGCCATAAATTTTGACGGTGCTCCCTGAAGCCCATGTAGCTGCTAATAGGTGAAAATGAAGCACATTGTCTCTTAACGGGGCCACAGACTTAACATAGCAAGTTCTGAGAAATTTTGTCGAACTAATGACGGCGAAATATGACAAATACACTGAAATTCGCAACATCACGTGGGCAGATTTCAGCACGAAATTCGAAAATGGTACTTTAACCTTGCTTTTCTAATAATGAACTTGACGCTATTTGATGTTACATAAAGCCAGACATGCAATGCCTTTATTCTCATAACAGTTTTGTGGTAGCTATCATTCAAGAACCGTGCCTTTCTGCTTTGTGTGCTGAGAATAAATTGCATGATGAAATAAAGCACTTACATTTTTTTCCATGTCATAATAAACCTTTAGCTGAAACCCTGGTTCAGGAACTGGCGTACGATAAAGAGATTCCAGGAAGTGACCCATTAGACTAGACTGTAAAAAAGTGAAATTTTAAGGCTGTCATGAATAAAATATTAAAGAAATATGTACACTATAATAAAGTGTTAGATAAATAAGTGATAATCATTGCTTACATCTTTCTTGTTGGCTAGTTCTGCAATCTGGTTGAGCACCTTGTAAAATGTTTCATGCCAGGGTAAGTAGCTACATGAAAGATTAACACGAGTAAGTACAAAAATGGTATGAGGCACAAACAAGTTGGTAGAACTAGAATGCTTGGGGACCCCAAAATAATCATCTCACTTCACAACCTGACAAAAACATTTATGATAGATAACACTGCTGCATTCACGTGAGTGGTATCTACACATTTGTTCCTGCTTGGGACTCGAATGTAACGTCAAAACAAATACTGCCAATAGGCATTATGTTCAAAGGGCTCACGCCACTTAAGATGGATAACTGGGTTTGTTGGTTTAGCACATTTAGAGGTGAAAGGTTCACAGAAGACAAACATTGTGAATCTCTCGTTGCCTATTACCTTCGTCGAGCCAATGCTTCAGAAGTGAAAAATACACTACACAGTGACAGTGGTGCACCAGCCTACGACAACCATAGTGCCACAATTTCTATAAACTAAAGTTGCAGACATTTAATGAAGGACTATGTAGCTAGCATAGTTTCTAGCTCGTATAGTGCAGCTTATATAGTTCTTATAACTAACCACTCACACAGCTCATACAGAGCAGCTCGCATAGTTACTCGTTCAGTGCAGCTTTTCGCCTGAAGGAACCCCAACAATTTAATTGAGAAAATTACATTCCCAATTCTGATATGCACTACTTAAATCTTTAAATACAGCATTAATCTTGTAATGCCCACTGTATATTTGATACATTGAATATAATACCTAGATAACACTACTAAAAGCTACTAGAATTGTCACAACAAGCAGCTATTAAAGATTTTGACATGTTATGAAGAAGGTACAGTGACTGACATATCATACAACATTAATTATTTCCAATTACTACTGATTAGGCAATGCCTGCAACGAAATTTCATTCATATTTTTCTTAAAATGAACTGTACAAGAAGAGTAACAGTCAGCGTTTCCCCGCAATTTTTCTGAAGGCATAACTGTTCCTGGGCATTACAGAGTTAATACAGAGCCTCACATGCTTTGTAGGCGCACCCATAAAGGGTCTTTCTTAAAAACACTTCTCGCAGCCTTATCTTTTCCAGAATGGCTTAAAAGCACCCTGAAACAGTTCTGACAATAATATACCCATCCATAAAACCAATAGCTTTGTGAAGTAATTAAAAAAACTTATTAGAGCCCTCTGGACAAGGTATTTAATCTAAGGATTCAAATGAGCAAATCACTACACAGCATCACTGCTACATCAAGTTTTCAGCCACACTTTTATGTCAAAGCTCGCTTTTATTTTTTCCAATTCACTTTTGAGAGTAATGCAACTGGACTTTTTGCATTTTTTTTTTACCAGAGGAGAAAATGTGAGCAGACTGGCTTATGCACATGCCCAATGGCATTTTGATCAACCAGACCCACATAGAGCAACAGCCTCCACAGTACTCCACATACCAGCGGACAATTGTGGAAAGTGTAGCTCAGCCCTGATTACTCCCCAGAGAAGTTTAAGAGAAAAAATATGGCTTGTAAGACTGGTAGCTTTTAATCACCTGTAGCTTCTTTGACAGTGTGTGCTTAAATTGAATCATGACATGAATTATTTTATTATAGCTCAAGTTTAACCATTTGAAAAAATTTTATTTAATTATCAGGGACCTTTAAACAAAGTTGTTTTGGTAACAGTGGCATGCTGAGTGCAGAATATGCCCATTGTAATGCTGCTTACCTTAGAAGCACAAAGCAGGTTTGAGAGTTGGGAGCGTGACGACAATAGCCAAATGTCCACTTGCTGTCAATGCTCGTCAACACAAAGCTGAAGTGCTGCACTGCAGTACTAGAAGTGATGTAAATTATTTCATGGCTACTTAAAATGGATCACTCAACGATAGTAGAACTTCATCAAACCAAATTTGCTTCATTTGAATAACAACTTAAACAGAAAACAAAACAGCAAGCAGTCTCTTAACTGGTTGGTTCTGTAATTTGGTTAACACTAAAAACTTTTCCAACTAAAAGTATTGCAACTCAAGTCTCTGCAAAAGGAACCGCAGTGTAAAGAATACCTTTCAAAAGAGGAACAATCAGAAACATATTATTGCAACACTTATCTTCTATTCAAAATTATATCTTAAATAAACAGCAATAAAGGCTATCCATGCACAAGTGCATGTAATTCAACCACTGATTGGAGCTGAAAATATAACTTTTTTTTGTATGTCCATGGAACAGAAACTAGCAAAGCCAAATTCATCCAATACCTACGAACCAGGCCCCATACATGAGACAAACTAGACAAAAAACATTTCCTTCTTCACGCTACATACATACATTTTTCAACGAAAGTTTGTGCAGGGAACTAGCACGTAGTGCTGCACCCTATTTTCAAGAAACGCAACTGCTGTTAATCTAAACAAATTTTTCCAGATGAAGTTTCATTTAACAAGGTTCTAGGTCATTTCACCACTTATTTCTTAATCTATGTAAAGTTCACACAATTTGCTAAAAAAGCTAGGGAAAAGAATTTGGTACAGTGCATGTTTGCATTAGTAAACTAGCTTGCCAGCATCCACTGAAAAAGAAAGCTCTATAGACTTTTTATTTAATAATACGTGGACAAAGTTGTGTTGTAATGTAACAAACCTCACATACAATCAGGCAAGTCAACCTAATGGAACAATACCAAGTACACCAATAGCCCATGGGGGCGAGCACCGAAACATGCGAGATTGTCCATGGTCAGCTTGGACAATGTCATTTTCAAGTGACACCCCCGTATTCAAGAAGTGTTTACAGGCACATTATGGCAATTACTACTATGGATCAAGACAGCAATGCAAACTAAGGTATACACTAATTAAGTTCTGTATAAGTGGCATTATACTAATGGCATAATTAAGGATCCCTATTACTATTAATACAACCAAATAAAACACCACAGGGGTAAGAAATGTAAAACAACGGTATACACTGAAATTGGTTAATATCATGGAAATCTACAAAGCATGTAATCCTTTTCAAGATTACTTTCCACATATTTTTCTACTACACATCTGAAATAACCAAATTCATTTATTTATATTTCAAATATAAATTTTCATTTTCAAGGAAACTGGTATATTCATGCTGCTGGGCAAAGTGCACCGCTGCCGCTGTAAAAAAAACTTGGTCATCTATAACACATGGAACATCAGAACATAAGGATGCCTAGAACCAAGGAATAATAAAAACAGCATGACTGTCAGAAACAACACTCAAGCTCCTACAGATTTTACCAACTAGAATGCCATTTGTAATGCTCAGCTTTTGCTGTTTGAGTCATACATCCACAACCTGGGTCTGCAGTGAAACAATTTTTAGCCTACACTCTGTTGCCACAACTCAAACCATTTGATACATTTTTAACGGAGCAGTGTTAGTGCAGTCAAGTGCACGCATAAAAATTGTTTCGGATTATGTCTGCGAGATGCCAGCGCATGGAAGCACAATTCATGAAGTACTGGCACAGAAACAAACAAAACAGCTTCGCTCTAATTGGTGGCCAAGCAACACAAAGTGGAAATGAAGTTAAAAATCAAGACATACCAGCTCTCTTATAAAAAATCTAGGACAACTAGTACCTGAATTGGCTTACACAAAAGGTAAGTTAGCCTAATGGACTATACCCTCTATAGTCCTGAATATGCACACCAAAATAAAAGAAAAAGAGAACCTTACATTAAACTTTTTCTAAGTGTACCTTGAAACCCTAGTATTTAGACAACATGGTGTCATGCACCGTCATACACTGCACCAAGACCTCTGCAAAGCAGATGCGACAAACACAACAGTGTAATAGATGACTTCAATGCAGAGCTTCAGATGCTGTGCAGGTATAGCAAGAAATATTTACAAAAACAGCCCAGTTACCGAAACACGACAGGTGATTCGTAATGAGAAAATTGCAGAAGGCAGCTACATACCACACTTAATAGCATGTAACTGCCTCCATAGGTACTTAACTGATTTCCCTGGTTCCACATGCCTAAGCCATGACATCAATAGCAGTTTCACAGAGCAGGCGACTAAAATCCATTATGGCTACATGAAGCTTTTATAGGTACCCATCTTCAAGTAGAGAAGCATTTTTACATTTCACCTAAGGAAAATTTAGTTGTAATCAAACCCGCAACCCTGGCCTCATCATTACTGTCTCAATGCAGTGGCTTTTAAAATGTCACAACTGTAACATACCAAGCTAACCCCATGAAAACACGATACTAAGCATTTAATTTGAGCATGAAAGCATAAGTACTACCCAGTGACTGCTACAATGCATTAAAAATCAGCTATAGTGGTACAAGCTATTTCAATATCAGTCAGCACAGAGTGAAATGTTTCAGCACACATTAATCATAGCATCACTCACCTTGTGAATTCACATGGATAAGCAAACTCTGGTACAGATTTTAACACCTCCTAAAAGAAGTGAAATAGAATGCATTCCAATATAGCAGACCGATGCAGAATGAGCTACACTAGACATTTCGAAACACTTACGTCATTATTATAAGAGTCTGGACATTTCTGCACAATCCATGCACCTGTAAAGTTCGAGGCATGGCAGCAGAGAGGTGGTGAAAAAGACATCCACAGTAATAAAGCACAAGATGCAAATGATTTGTTTACTTTCTTGGTGTATTAGGTCAAGTCAGACTTGCAGACAGACCTTCAAAACACGATGAAATATTTATCACCAGTTTTCTACTATAATCATTGCTGGTTGAAGAGACACTGATGTTTTCAAATAGTTTGCCATCATAACCAGAGGACAAGACTTCAGTTAAAACACAGTAGTGGTCTAAACTACTTGAGGGAGTAGTGAGACAATTTTGGGACACCATAAAAGGAAGATTTCATGCTTCCTTGGTATGTAGTGTTGAACACTCTCCACACACCAGAGCCAGAAAATATGTATAAAATATTTCACTTTGATTTTAAATTTTTTGTCGCTAAGCATCTGCAAGTCAGACCCACCGCAAGGGATATCTCAACGAGACAACAGAGTTGCACTGAGTTTCTGAACTGTGCATCTGCGTCCTGTGTGCAGCCTTCATCGCAGAAATCACTCTCGGGGTTCCTGTTTTACAAATCACTCGTCATTGTTTGATTGCACCCGAAGCAGCTGACAGAGCTGTTGCTAGTACATTGAGAGTTTGTCTCCCCATGACTTCACACTGTGATAACTCGTAACAGAAAAGCCACCGCTTCGATACCGAATTTCTTAAGATAGTAGTATTAAAAATATATTCAATGCATTCCCAGGCACCGCAATACTATTTTTAGGTTTCTCAAGGCCACTGTTTTTATTTCGAGCAGCAACTAGAAAATAATTGAAATTCTTGGCAGTACTCCTTTAAAACCAGCACAAGTTTGGCTTGAAAATGACTAACTACCACTTGTGTGGCTTGACATCCATCTGCTCTCACATGATTTATTTTCCCACCACTTTTTGCAAAACTGTGGCTTATGCGAGAAAGACATCCACAGTAATAAAGTGCAAGATGCAAATGATTCGTTTACTTTCTTGGTGTATTAGGTCAAGTCAGACTTATTAGGTCAAGTCAGATTGCTGGGAAAAGCCTGCACAGGTTTCCCATCTGCATGACAGCTGCTTTTAAGTAGGCTGACATAATAGATGCACTCCTTAATCATTGACATGTGAAGAATTTTAGAAAGAATAATTAACGAGTTTGATGGCACAAAGAAACACAGAGGCAAGGAGACACGCCATGACAGAGGGCTCAGTATTTAGCTACCACATTCCAACGTTTATCTAACACCCGTCCAGAAAGCGTAAGACTACCAATTTTGCTGCATTGCATTCCTTACTTGCATGAGGGTCCATCTAAGCTGAAACCACGAGGTCAGTGAACGAGAAATTTAACCGGCTAGTTTTAATATTTCTATGCAGTACTTGAGGTATTTTACGCCGTTTATGAAAGTGTAAAAATACACACGTACACACAAGAAACAAGAATGCACCAATAGCTCGTAGAACCAAATTTCATGGGTCACGACCACAAACTCCGGTCAACATTTCGCGCAAAAGGTTGAATCAACATACTTAAAGCTAGTTTCAAGCGCCACTTCACTTAGCGAGCACTGAAACTACAAGACAACAAAACACAGTTGTGCCAGGCCCGGTAGCGGCTGCGGAGGAACATACTCAAACTGCTGCACATGGCAGTAAATGGCATGTTCGGATACAGGAGCGTTTTAAGCCGGCTCGAGGTCATTCCTTCTAGAGATAAAGTAAACCAGGCGCATGCACAAATTCCAGAAAGACAGCATAGCACCGAAAAGGGAAATGGGGGCAACAAAATCAAACACTTACTTTCATTGCCATTCCTCGGTATAACAACTTCACAGAAGCATTCAAATATTTTCGATGGCGAATCCCTGCGTGGGTATCGATGGATCAGTGAAAGTGCCACAGAACAAGATCGCCCTATCACGTCTGCACGCGTCAACCATGGGAAAAAATTCTATTTAAACGATGTTTCAAGACAGAACAGGAAATATGGTGCACCTATTCATATGAGCCGCTACACAGAAAACAATTTTTCAAGACAATTAAATCAAGGGGCTGCTGACATTAACAGCTGGAGAACAACAACCATCACAAGTCACACGTAAAGATTACGAGTTCACAATTAGCACTAACTAATTTGAATAGCGGCATGTAAATGCACGCGATTCGACGCATTAATTGATGGTGACATGACCTAGAAATAAACAAGCAGAAGCTACAGTGGGGAGGCATCGGCAGTCGCAGCCACTCCTCCGCAAATCGGCAAACAGTAAATCGAAAATATTGCCGTCTTACCGTATTCTAGAACCCATTTTTTACGCACTTCAAGACTTGAAATAGCAAGGATGTCAGTGAAACTGATTAATGTGAGCTTCCGATCACCTCTTAATCGGTAGACCGAGCATTTGGCCATTCTAGCCTGACGGCCAGCGCCATGATAGCTGCGATAGCATGCGCTGGTTTGGAGATTGCAAATCAGTTCAATGTCTGTTGTCAGCTTTAGGTCGACTAGACAATACTCATAATAAGAAAACTCGTTAGATTTTAAAATTGAAATTATTATACCAGAGTGTGTTAAGTTTTAACTTATGTGAAAAGTTTATTTTGACGGCTGAACGCTGGGCTTCGGAGTGTGTGACGGCATGGCAAATGGCGGAATCCGTCTGCTACAAAATTGCACAGTGTTCTAGAAATTGTTTAGTCTGCATCACAGTTTCAGCTTGTGTGCTTTAAATTTCGCACATTGGACATATATGAGTGCTCCGTGTGATGTTTACCTGATATGATTGAACCATACAGCTCACGAGCCGTGAGCAGGAGCTTCCCTTCGGAAGAGTTGGCCAAGTTTGTCACCGGTTTCAGAATTACCAGAGATGCTAGCAAGATTGTTCTCGCGTCGGTGTCAAATGACGCGGTGTTTCTGGACGAGCGCAGAAGAAGATGCTAATCCCGGCCCCATAACCGAAGAGGAGCGTCGCCAGAGAACAGAGGAATACAGAAAGCTATTTCGAGACATAGACTCGTCTGTTCGTTCAGATCGTCTGTCGGATAATGAAAGAAAAGTTCACGAGGCACATAAACTTGCTGTTCAGGTAAATGTCGCTTCCTTTTCACCGTAGCGTACAAGCACCTCTTGGCTCCAACCAAGAGCAGAGCTGCTGTCCTGTTGAGACACAAAAAGCTTTCGATCGGCTCGTAGACACGCGCTTTCGCAGCTGGCAGCTGTTTGCAAGGTTATAAGTCACTTTTGCAAACGTAATCCGCGCGACGGAAGGGTGTATTTCACGAGGACACCCCAATGTCCCTAGCATGGCTGAGTTAATAATTCCAGAAGGCCTAAATGCTTTGTAACGCACGAACCGCAATGCACATCTCCTGTTGTGGTTCGTAGTGCCAGCAAATCAGCACATAGCCCGTCATTATAATCACGGTCGTGCATGTTTGTATGGAAATCAACATGACGAACTGAAGCTTATATTGCGGCTGCGCTATATATATATCGTAATACAAAAATGATTACACAAACGAGCCAAACTTGGCATTTGCGTGCAGCAGTGTCAATGAAGACATATCTCGTTGTAGCGCGGGCAGCATGGCTGCAGACTCCGGAAGGGTGAGCTCGTATACTTCAGTTCGCCGTGCTTCAGTCATAACGATTGTTCATGGCTGAATATCTGAGTGATCTAGAAGGCTTATTCACGCAGCAACTTTCAGCCTGTTATTCAAAGCTGCATTGTTGCAGCAGACACTGTGTATGTTCCCATTTGTGTTGTGGCTTCATTGCAGTTGCATTGTGTTCAATTTCATCCTGGTTTGCATGTCACAGCTGCTCTATGCGTCAGTGTAGCTGTGTTATCAAAGAATAATGGTAGGTTTTTATTCATTTATGAGTATTTTAATGACATGTATTGTAGTTTAAGCCTGCAGCTGGCCCACATGCATCATAGAGCTCAAATGAACTTCTGGCCATGTCCTTTCAGCTTCAGTCAATTCGAAAGCATGTTAAATATTCACAAGCTTATTCACGCTAGATTTTAGAAATGAGATATTACTTTGTATGTAACGTGCTGGTACCTCTGTGAAGAGTGACTCGATCGAGCTCCGTCACTTTTGTCATACATTAACGGTGTTCCATATTTTGCTGCAGTGATCATGGGCCCATTCATGTGAATTATAATAATAATTGTTCGGGGAATATCCCAAATAGCTTTAAGAATATTGGCTGGATGCAAAGACCAACGAACAATAGATATAGTCTGAGCACACGCTCACTCCTCCTTACCCGGCAATGAGGCTACACACCATGCCGCCAGCTAGAGGACTTACAGATCGAGCCTCTGGATTGCCCTGGTCGAGCGGGGAGGACGATGAGAGATTTGAGCGGATGACCACTTACAGAGATATTACGCAGCATTACAGGCTAAGCAGTAAAATTTATCCTCCCGCACACTCGTCATTGAACAAAGGACAGGCGGTGGCGTGGCGCCTACTCCAGACCCGTACGTTTCCTAGTCCGGTAACAATGAGGCGCTGCGTGCCGGAACTTATTCGGACAAGTGTAAATTTTGCCATAACAGGGCAGACTTGAGCCACATTTTATGGGCATTCCCGCAGGCCCCCATAAGAGGAGAATTTCCAGACGGGAGTGGATAGGATACCGCGCTCCTCAGCTCTGACTCAATTACAAGCCTGCTTAATACGGCAGGCTGAAGACGCCGCCAGGGTCCAGGGAATCATGGCCGCCGTCTAGGTTTGGTCCTCCCTTCTCCTCTAGCACCTGAAAGGGGAGGAGAATCTTTTTGCTAATTAAATAAAGTTTGTTCATCATCATCGGGTTTAACGTCCCAAAATTACCATATGATTATGAGAGACGCCGTAGTGTAAAGGCTTCGGAAATTTCGACCACCTGGGGTTCTTTAACGTGCAGCGAAGTAAGCACACGAGCCTCAAGCATTTTCGCCTGCATCGAAATTTCAGCCGCCGCAGCCGGGATTAGATCCCCCCGTGACCTGCGGGTCAGCAGCCGAGTATCTTAGCCACTAGACCACCGTGGCGAGTAATTCATGTGAATTATGTGGGATGTTATTTCTCTGCAAGACACACACAATATATATATATATATATATATATATATATATATATATATATATATATATATATATATATGCTTTAAATGTGATGTTATAGTACACTAATCATGCAATTGGCAACAATTTTAACAAGCCAAATACCTTACCTTTCCACCATACTCATTTATTTGCAATGTACGGTTGTGTATTGCTGTTGCAGAGAGGGGAGAAAACATACACTGATCCCATGACTGGCTATACTGTCTTTTCTGGACTTCATCATTACCTGCGTGGAGTTTGCTGTGGCTGTGGATGCCGTCATGTGAGTGAAGTACTCGAACAAAAATTGCGCGTCAATGGAATTCTGGATAGCAGGAACGGCGCCAGCAAAGGTCATGAAAGCTGGAGCCCCCCCCCCCCCCCCACCCCCCTCTAACATTCTCGCCTGTCCCATTTTTCCCTTCAAGAGCAAGCATAGTCAGAAAACTACGCATACGTTGTGTTTTGGCAAAAACAGTGTCATATTCTGGCGCCGCCCCTGCTAGATAGTCTTGTCCATTAGTAGTTGTATACCGTAACCGTTGCATTACAGCACGCTTACGAAGCTCTTAGATGACCACCCTTCGTATCGTCTTCGAATACAGTGAGTACCTGGTCACTCGGGGATCAGAGGGAATGAAGTGGCACACGCCATGTCCCGCGTAACTCTCCCGGGCCCTCCTCTGGGGTGGCCGGATTCACTGAAGCGCACCGTATTACTTACTATGACACGTTTAGGCAGGCGCTAATGATTAGGTGAGATGTGCAACAACCGAAGGGTTTATCTCGATTCACCTCACTCCATGACAAGACACGAGCTAGCGCTGGTGAGCCGTGTCCAAGCTCGCTCTTTACACTCCACATGCAGCATTACATAGGTAAGGACGGGTCTCCTGCTTGCGTGGCCTGCGATAGCTTCCTGGATAACGCTCACGTTCTGCAGCACTATTCGGGTGATCGTGCAGCCATGGGCGAGAGCCTTAAACACGTATTTACAAACCTAAGACCCGCGACCATGGAGGAGTGGCTGGCGGACTCCCTGAAGGCACTACTCGAACATTTGGGACTTCTAGGCCTATCGTACGGCTAGGCATTGCTTCTTTATTATTATTAGTCGACCTGGACTGGAGTTTGTTTATTTTTATTAACGTTCCCCCCCCTCTCTCTCTCGTAGTCTTAGTGATTGCTCGTAGTGTGCCACAGACCATTGAGCTGATAAGCGAAATATTTTACACAAGTTTTTAAGAGCTGTAAGGGGTGTGAGTAATGCCCAGTTCAACTACGGTGACAAGATATGACAAACTATAGTTCGCACTGTTTGCATTTTGGGCCTGGAAAGAAATTTCCTGCAAAATTTTAAAATTATGCCAAACAGCTAGTGTATCTCTGCCCGTGTTCTATAATGATGAGCTCAAAAAAAAAGAATAATGATCTAATAGTACAGTTCTAAATTCAAATTATTGACGGGGTGCCTTTTTTTCTCTAATGAACACCGAAGTAAAGCAATAAATCAGTTTATATTTATTGCATGGTAATTCTCAGTGGTCGTTGGTTTTGCTGTCATAGATTCATAAACATGAAAGTCAGTTTCACTTTCATTTTTGAATTGCGCGCCAAAACGTCAGCGCCTGAAGGCGACGTAGCAGATTTGAAATTTTTTTTCTTAGGTTCAGAAAAATTTCGGCAATTAGCAACGTTTAGGTTACAGCTCCCTCATAAGACAATTTAATACATTTTTTACAGATAAAGAAATTATAGGCCTCAGCAAATGCCGTCAGTATATCTGACGTCACGGTGAGTTAGTGTGGTATAGAGTATAGGGGCCATATAGACAGTAATTCTAATGCGGGAAAGGTGACGCCGCGGCCTGTTGTTTTTCTTTTCTCGCTCACCTAACTACTATTGCTGAGCCACTCACTAACCTTACAAAGACCGACGTCGAGTTCAAGTGGGAAACGTCGCAGGAGGAATCGTTTCAAGAACTAAACGACGGCTGCAGACACCACCGATACTTGCGCATTTCGACGAAGACGCCGACACGGAAATCCACACCGATGCTAGCAGTGTATGGCTCGAAGCCGTCCCAGTGCAGAAAATTGATGGGCTTGTAAGAGTCTTCGGTTATACGAGCTGGTCGCTATCTAAGACAGAAATCAAGTATTCCACAACAGAAAATGAGTGTCTTGCCATCATCTGGGTTACCTTCAAGTTTCGCCCCTACGTCTATGGTAGGCCTTTCAGAGTTGTGAGTGACCACCACGCCCTACATTGGCTAGCTAACTTGAAGGATCCTTCAGGTCGCCTCGCACGGTGGAGTCTGCGACTTCAGGAATTCGACATCACAGTCGTTTACAAGTCGGGGTGAAGGCATTGTGACGTCGAATGCTTATCCCGCGCCCCCGTTGACCCACCGCCGCAGGTCGACGAGAATGGCGACTGCTTCTTGGGATCCTTAAGCGTCGACGACTTTGCAGAGTAACAGCGAACCGACTTTGAAATCAAGGGCCTCGTGGAATACCTTGAGGACAAGGCTGCCGTTGTTCCAAAGGTATTCAAGCTAGGACTATCATCGTTTTGTTGCGTAACGGCATCCTCGTCAAGAAAAACTTCTCGCCACATCGAGCGAACTACCTCACCGTGGTACCTTCAGCGTTGTACGTCCAGAAGTTTTGGATGCTCTACTCGACGACCTGACGGCTGGACACCTCGGTGTTTCCCGTACGCTCACAAGAATACAGGAGATGTACTACTGGCCACGCCTTTCCGCCAACGTCACTCATTATGTGAAGACATGCTGCGACTGCCAACGATGAAAGGCACCGCCGACAAGGCCATCCGGACTTCTCCAACCCATCGAGCCCCCTCACCAGCCGTTCTGGCAAATCGGCATGGACTTACCGAGGCCGTTACCGACGTGAACTTCCGGGAACGTATGGATCGTCGTAGCTACCGACTACCTCACGCGCTACGCCGAGACAAGGGCCCTGCCTAAAGGCAGTGCCGCCGAGGTAGCAAAAGTTCTTCGTCAAGAACATCGTCCTGCGTCACGGAGCTCCACAGGTCCTCATTACTGAAAGATTACGGCCTTTATGTCGGACCTAACTCAGGCGATCTTGAGGTACAGCCAGACAAGTCACTGCCGGACCACCGCCTACCATCCACAGACCAATGGCTTCACCGAGCGCCTTAATAAGACCATCGCCGATATGCTGGCCATGTACAGAGGGGTCCACTGTTAAAGGGAACACCGAAGCGCGTGTCGTCTGCTCGGCGCCACCACCGGCCCGCTGCGGCAACTAGTTTCGCGCAGGAGCAGTGAGCGCTGTGGGTGGTGCTCGTTTGCTGTCTGCTAGTTCCGGCCGCGCTTCAGCTCATGGTGAAGCCAGCTCTCCTCCTGCTTTGAAATTCGTCAGCAGGCTGCATGGCCACGTTCAGATGGAAAGCTGTGGCAAAGCTAAAAAAAATTAGTATGTGTAAAATACTAATTGATACTTTGGAGGTTAAAGAAGCATGACTACTTCTTTACTGAAGTCATTTTCTAGCATAACTATATTAAGGAATATTTCTTTTTCTTGTGTAATGTGTGTTTGATGCGTACTGATGCAGATTTGAGCTTCTGCAGTCTGTAAGCGCAAAAACGCATTTACAAGTGCCTTTAACAGACGCCACCAGAAAACTTTCTCGATGTTGGCAATTCTTTATCTATCGAGAAAGTGAACGAAAGACAGTCACCCGACTGTTGTGTCACGTGAAGTTTATGTGATTATAGATCATTCTTGTAATTTTCCTTCTAGCTCAGAATAAAACGACCATTTTTAAGATTTTGCTGCTTAAGCTGCCCTTCGCGACGATCTGAAGAGAAGCCGCAACTCTAGCAGACGACAAACGAACGCCACCCACAGCGCTCACTGCTTCTGCACCATGGCCTCCGAGAGTGCGGGCGCGTGGTGGGTTTATTGATAACCCTGCCGCGCGCTCGCAATCTCGGAGGTCATGCCTGCATGAAACTAGTTACCGCAATGGTCGGTGGTGGCGCCTAGTAGACGACACGCGCTCAGGTGTTTCTTTTAACAGTGGACCCCTCTGTACGTCGACGTCGAGCACAAGACGGGGGACGAAATCCTTCCGTACGTGACCTTCGCGTACAATACGGCCATTCAAGAAACGACACAGATGACGCCGTACAGGTTCGTCTGTAGAAGGAGGGCCGGCAACGACGCTATGCTTTCAAACGTCGCTGATGAACAGAAGCTTGACGTCACGGCCTACCCCCAGCGCGCGGAAGAAGCTCGTCAACTCGCCCGCATGCGTATTAAGGATGAGCAGGCGACCGACAGCCGCTGTTACAATCTTCGACGAAGCTTCGTGGAGTACCAGCCCTGGGACCGTGTCTGGATATGGATGCGGATATGCCAACGTGGGGCTCAGTTAAAAAGTTTCGCGACGGTACTTCAGAGTTCAGACCGTATGGAGTAGTTTGACGTCTCGGCACACTCAACAACGAGGTTGCTCCCGACGGCATTACGAACTCTTGAAGGCGCCGTGCTCTATATATACTGAAGTCATCCATGTCGTGCGCTTTAAGCCATTTCATGCGTGAATCTGAGGACTGTATCTTGTTGTTTATTGCTTTTACCTGTTTTTTTATTATTGTACTTTCGTCTTGTCTTGAAGCATCGAGACGAAGCCTTTTTCAGAGGGGCGAAGGCCATATTCTTGCCTCAGCGCAAACCACGCCTACCCTGTTTGAGAAGCTTCGGGACGGCAGCAGATAATTGTGTTAAGATTACGCTCACTTCATTACCATTACAGATTATTCTGGAACCTACGTCGCCGCTAGCGACAACGCTAGAATATTCGATGGAAAGTGTATAGGTGCCGACACGCTTCGCCGCTTGCCAGTTGATCGACGGCCGATGCTCTGTTCGCCGCTATCAGTGCAAGTGTCTTGCTGTAATCCGACTTTCATTTTGCATGGCCACAAGTTCGGCCCGAATAAACAGTTTCATCTTCGACCTGAAGTCTGCTCTCTTTATTCACGTGACGACCCCGTGGCAACATGGCGGTTTTTCAACGTTAAACTCCACATATCTGTCATTGTGTATACATCGCTACAGTTGATTTCATTGACAAACGCTGTGTTCATGGACTTCACGGCGTCACCACTGGTCTAATGTCGTGCGGGTGTTCGCTGCTGTGTCACGCTATTTTCGATCTCAGGGTTAGAGCTGGCTGCCAGTTGCACGGCGCGGCTGTGCGTTTTAGCTTGAGCACCGTATGCTT